TCAGGTGTATTGATTAGTCTGAAGTCATTGTGATTACGAACGTTTTCGAGTGTTTTTCCATATACAGCGTTATTTAATAATTTGAATAAATCTTTTTCAAATTCAGTTTTAGCATTCTTTCGTTTTTCGGTGTTGAAATCAATGTATGGTTTTAAGAAATCTGCTTGATTAAAACTAATTACCCTATGGACTTTCTTTAGTTTTAATCCATGCTCTAAATAAAACTTCAATGCTGATATATGTAATACATACTTTTTCTTATCCATAACATTTAATATTAGTTTATTTGTTTTTTCATCAGATGCATCTTTTCCATAATATTTTTTATGTATTTCTTTTTGAACTGGTGAAAGCATATTCTCACTAACACTCATAATTTCTGGTGCTAATGGATAATCTCTATGTAAATCATGTAATTCTTTTGGATATTCTAAATCAACTTCTAAAATATAGCCTTTGTCATCATCATCGCTATAACTTAATACTTTCTTCTCATCCATCCTTGAAAAATACCAATTGAAATTATCAAACGGTAGTTTTTTACTCATAGCCAGACCATACAAGTTATTAGCATCTAAATAACTTATATAACTTGATGGTTTTGACAAGTCATATTGTTCATTCATGTATTTATTATTTGCTTCTACTTTTTTATGAGCACATTGTGTCATCCCGCCACGAAGACCTTTTTCAATCATTTCATACATGTCTTTATTATGTATTTGTTGAAGTCTAACACCAGTAAGAGATAAGAAGGCAGACCACGAATAATTAGGTAATGTTATGTAATGAGCAGGGTCTAAACCATAATAATTTAAGCACATATCCCTAAAGTTTTCAAAAACATCACTAAGCAAATAAACATCTGTCATCAAATATAAATCATGGTATTCACCTAGGTTTTTGATATTGAAATTATCCCATATTACTTTTGCCCTTGTGTGTTGTGTATCTGTTATGCCTTCTTCATATAATTGACTGTAAAAGTCTTCTATACTTGGTAATTGCGATTCATTGAATTTATCAAATGAATTCATGTAGTCGTAAGGATAAACTCCTTTTTCAGTTAATAAGTCTAAATCGGTTTTATTTCTAATATATGGATTTGCTGATGAAAATCGGAAATTATCCTTCCAGTCATTCCGCTTTTTATATATAGGTTTATCATGTTCATCTTTACCTACTATGTCATATTTATTTAACTTAACTAATTTATCCAAAGATGCTGAGAGAAAAGCCATGCTATCTTTAAACTGTAATGAACCAAATGAAAATGTAATAAACTTTTCGCTATTTTGTGCTATTACATCTATTCTCTTATTTTCGTTCAATTCCTTATTTATTTCATTTGCTTTGCCTATTATTAAGTGAGAGTCATAGTTTTTTAAATTATGAAAAAATACTGGTATCTTGAAATATCTAAATGAATAATCCAAATTACATTTTTCGTGAGCACAACCTCTATACTCACCAGTAAAATGACAGTGGTCTCTGACTTTTGTATCTTCTGGTTTAAAATTCTTATTACATATTGAACATACAGTAGCTTTTCTAAATTCTGCTTCTTGTTCATCTGTAATATCCATTGGTTTATTAACATTCATTTTATCAAAAATATCTTTTTTAATTTCTCTTAATTTATTTACAAAGTGGTCTAAACAATCCTCTCCACGGTATAAAAAAGGTTGACTTGTATTATCAATAGAATTTACAACATTCAACATATAACCGCATGGTTTATGTTCCTGATACGTGCCCTTGATGCCATTATTTGAATTTACAGTTATACACTCAAAATCTCCATAAACAACAAATGGACATTTTAATTTTGTATTGTATTTTTCAAATTCAATATAACTACCTTCTTTTGGTAATTTAAACTGTTGTCCATGTGTTGCCATACAACCAGTTTCATAATGTTTTGTTAATAAATCCTTTCTAGTAAAGGCATGAGAACAATAATGACAATAATGTTTTGGTTGGTCATTTTTGTTTGTTTGCCAGTTCATTAGACGACTTAGACTTTTAATAACTACATAATGATTATTATTATTGATTTCAAATTTCAAAAGGTTTATTTGATGTTTAGCATCTCTTGTTTTAGTTCTGTAATCAATTATAATTTTCTTTTCATTCAAAGTATCATCAATTTCATAAACATTGATTGAAACTAACTTACTATTATTTTCTTCAAACCTTTCAATATCTTTATTACCAGTTGGAAATTTAACACCTTCCCAGTTTAAGATATTGTCATTTAATTTGTTGTAATGGAACATTTCTTGGGAATTTGATTTATTAATTATATCAAACACTACACTTTGAACACTATATTTAAAACATTTGTTATCTTTGTTTTTGATATTAATACATGCCTTTTTTAGTTTAATCCATTCTGGTAAATCTATATAACTACCCGCCCTAGTTGGGTCATATTTGTCATAATGTAATGTGATTGATAATATCTTTATAAATTGTAAATTAGACGCTGAACCTTCTAGTTTCTCTATGTTCAATAAAATCTCTTTGATTGATTTTTCAATTGCTTCATCCAAATCGGTTTCATTATATATGTTTGCCCTTGTTGCAGGTAAATTATAAAGTATCTCTGTATGTTTTATTACTCCATCATCATCATAATAATGATAAAATAAACCTTCTGCCCTTATATTCAGTTTCATTGCTCTATTAGTTTTCAAAAAGGTCAAAAGTCTATCTTTTTGGTGGTGTATCATTGATAGTGCCTTTTCACCTTGAAAATGTTTATTTACTAGTTTTATAGAATTAGCATAACTTTTGAAAGCTGATTGTTGGTCTGTTACTTGGAATCTATTTTTGATTGCATATTTTGTCATTGCATTTTTCATTCTTTGTTTTAGGTATGTTGAGCGCAATGTTTTTGTTGCATAACTATTATACTCATTAGTTCTTGCTTCTGATTTTAATTTCTTGTTCAAAACATTTGAGATGGGTTTTTCTTTGTTGTATCTAAATTTTCTACCATCTATAATTATTGATTTTAATTCCTTGTTTCCTCTTTTTGGAATTTCCGCTTTATCATTATTCAACAGATAATCTATAACATGTTTCATAATACTATACTATATAGATTTAATGTGTTTATTTCTTTAAGTGACTTTTTAGAAAATATACACTTAAAGAATTAATGCCTTAATATATTATAATAGAAATGGTTGAATTTACTAAAAAAGAGCAAGAAGAAATTATTAATGACTTTTTGAATAAAATAAAAGTTAATGACATTATCAGTAGTTGTAAATGTAAACTAATAAATGAAAAAACTGGACTAACTAAGTTAAATTTACCTAATCCAATTGTTAAAAACATTTGTGATTTTAATTATGTTGAATGCGAGAAATGTTTTTTATTAAGAAATGCAAAGCAAGTTTTACATAAAAGTAATTTACATTCAACATTGAGACAATGTATTTATGATAAATACAAATTGAAATTTGAAGAAAATACATTTCTAAATGATGACTCATCATTAAGAACATATTGTTTTATAAAGTTAAATACATTTCCTACATATGAAAAAGTGAAAAAATATATACTGCAAGATAACGAAACATATATTTTAAAATTTTATAATGATATTAAATATTACTACGAACAATCATATGAAGTTAGTTATGGTGGCAAAACTGGAACAACAAGACCAATTGAAGAATTTAATAATAAAATGATATTGAAATTTATTGATGAGTATGATTTATCAAATAATAAAATTGAAAACGATTGCAAGGAAACATTTTTAAACTACATAAAACAAAGAAACCAAGAATTGAAAATCATAATTGATAAAATATGTGATTATATTAAGGATGAACAGAAGAACAATATAATAGGTAAATTAATGTATGGTGATGTGATAAATGATATTAAAAGTGTTTTAGGAAACTGGAGCATAGGTTTTTGCATTTATGATTTTGCTGATAGAAAATATCCATTTAAAAATAATAAACAGAACTTTAAACAAATACCAAAGATTACAAAGGAATATTTAAATACTAATGACTTTGATTAAAACCATACTATAATAATAACATGTAAAATCTTATATGTTATAATTATACTGTACTTATAGTTTGTAAAGATTGAAATATTTTATTTTTCTTGATTTGGTTATCTCTTTCAAAGTGCGTTGTTTGAACTTGGTATGCTCTTTTGATTTTTTCGTGCTTTGGCTGTTTGTATTTTATTTTGTTTGATACTCTTCTGATATTTTTTGTTGGTATGTTGCTTTGTTTTTGTTGATGTGTGTTTTTGAGTTTGTGTTCTTTGATGGTTTTTATTTTTGCTGTTTTGTTGGTATGCTTGTTTGAATTATTTAATGTTGTATGCTGTGATTAAATATTTTGTTGGGGGCTGTTCTGGTTTTTGAGTTGCTTGGTGGTTCTTATCTTGTTTTCTGTGAATTTTGCTGATTTTGTTGTATGCTGTTTGATTATTTGGGTTTGATGTTAGAAGTGCCATTTTATGTATTTTTTGGGGGAGGGGAGGGGGAGGGGGGGGGGGTTGTGGAAACAGGGTCCCTGTGTCCTTTTTCATCCGGGAAACTCATCTTGGGGGTGAGGGGCCATTGTTATGGAAACTGGTATGCCCTTTTCTGTGACACGTGGAATTCCCTTCCAACAATGGCCACTGTACTCCTTTCATGGCCACCAAACAATGGCAGCCCAAACCGGGCTGGGGGTTCCCATTCAGCGGCACTGCCGTCTCTGACGTTCTTCAGGCTGGTGGTCGACAAATCCAACCCGAGTGGCTCCCATTCTGACTGAACCGGAGCAGCAACTTTCGTAACTCGATTTGCCACCTTCCCCCTCCAAATCGAGCTGGTGCCTTTTTTTTTGCGAGGGTACCCCTCGTTTGGTGGTTTTTAAGGAAAGCCAAAAGGCAAACACAGCCTCTTTAGGACACACCCCAAACGTGCGTGGACATCATGCCCATGTAAATGATGTCCCCAAAACAGCGGCGGCCTTGCTGTTGCCAGATGGCCTCCACCTGCGAGAACAACTTGGCGCGGTTCAAACCAAGCGGGAAACCCGCTGAAGCGCCATGCAGGGTACGTGTCAAAGGAGAGTCTCGAGCTGGGTTGTTTTCACAGGGGAACGAAAGGACAAACCATCGTTTGTCGGGTCCCCTACTTTATGACACCCCCAAGCATGCTTTACTTGTTCGCGGCGCCAAAGGAAAAACACCGGCTGGCTTCGGCTGGCTGATTGGCAGGTGCCCCATGTTAGAGGGTCTCCTGGAAATTTTTGGCAGAATACTCATTTCCCGAGTGGCCACACTAAGTCAACACTTGTTTCCAATTGACATAGTCTTCCTAAAGGACAATGTGCAGGAGCTCAGGGAGTGAGTGAGATGCGCTTTCACTTTTCGCCTTTTTCGCCCCGGCAGAAACATCATTTCGGGTCTGATTCCTGTACAGGAATCGCCACATGGAGGGATCACCAGTGGTTTCTTCCAGTCACGGGGTTTCGTTCCCAACTGGCGCACGATTTCTACAATAAGCTCACTTCCTGAGTGGGTTGGCCAAAAAAGGTCCAAACTATAAAATGGACTTCCTAAAAAGCTTAAAGTCCAGGAACTCAGGTAAGTTCACGTGTTGCTGGTTGAACGTGGAAATCGATCAACACAAACAAAAACGGATCAACAGGTAAGCTAAGCAGGAGTTTATAGCAATTAGCCACATACACACACACACACACCCTCACACTCTCTCATCTTGGTTGACGTTGGAAGGGGAGCAACAATTTAAATTTTAGCTGTTAAGTGGATTTGGATTTCCCACTAAACCACAATAAGCAAACATGGGAAACATGTTTCCCAACAACGACCATGTCATGATCAAGGCGTATCTTGGTTTGCAAGGTGCGCAGCCCCAGTCTTGCTTGGGCCCGCGACTTGAAAGGTCATTCGAGTCATCAACCCGGTATGGTCGTAATCCCAGAACCATGTAAAGAAGCAAGAGAAGGCGGATATCCGCAGCTGTTTATGGTCGTTTACTAACCTTCATCAATCCCCGGGTTTTGAGCAAGTGGCTGAATTATTCCATTCCCCGAAGAAAATCACCCAGTGAGGCCGGCCCCTCGCTCGCCCTCAGTTGGCCCGTCTCCTCGCCTCTTCGGGCTGCAGCGCGGCGCGAGTGCGCTCCTCTTCGAGCAGCAGCAGGCCGAAGGGGCCGTCCGGCCTCGCGCAGCAGGGGCGGGGGGGAGGGAGGGGTCGGGGGGGGGGGGGCGGATGGGCATGTCAAAATGGCCTCGGCTTGTCTAAACCAAATCCGGCAGCCTGAGAAAAATACAACATAGACAGATAGACACCTGTAAAAGGTTATAGGCGAAATGGGTGATACAGAATCAAGATGGTAAGTCGAATATCCACACCACAAGAGATTCAACAGATACTCGGCAAGCAAAAACACCCATTCGACTCTGCAGGAAGATAGCCACCGGCAATTGGCGGGTGTTCGACGTTTCTGTAGCTGGTTCCAAGAACAGCTTGCCCTCGCGAAGCAGGGTGGCCTAAAACTCAGATCCCCAGTGGCCATGGGGAGAGGAGGGGCTATGTTCTTTGCGTTCGTTGATTTTAGCGCAACCCCCCCTGCAAAAACACACACACACACAAAATGGAAAACGTGGGTCTCCAAGCTGGCCATTCTCTCTCTTGGCTCAAAAAGTGGGTTCCAACAACTGGTTGCACGTTTGTGCCGACATTACCCTTCATCAGTACCCTTTGTTTCCCTTCATTTCCCTTTTCCTTTCATTTCCCTTCAGTTCCCTTCATGATTGCCAAGTTCGGCTCACAAAGGCTCAGGCCCCCATTCTGATGCTCAAAAAGCCGGCGCAAGAAGGCTCACTCATCTTCGTTGCCCCTGTCGACGGCTGCCGCAAGGGCTTGCATCTCACTGAGATCTCCGGTGCCGCCCGTCGTTTGTCTTTGAGTTGCTTTGCTTTGGCCTTGTCCACCTACGGCTTCCGCGCAGAAAATCCAACCGCTGCAAATTCTTCTCCAACCTTGGAATGACATCTTGGACTTACTTGAGCTGCCGGGGGAAAACCATGACATCCAATTGAGGAGGTGGGCTTTCCTAGAGAGCCGTTTGGGAACACTCCACGTACCCCGGTTGATGAATCCGGATTCAACGGCGTGGCTGGACGATGTGCCCAAACGGAGCGGGTTTCCCTTCTCTTTTCTGGCTTTCCTCTCAAGGAAGCAGCAGGTGACGATAAAAGTTAATACCCACTTGTGACTCTCCAGACAGTTCGTCCATCGTTTTGTGTCTCCTCAAGTTGAGCCAACGCTCGCTCGTCTGAAGCTTTCTGATCGAGTTCCTTTCGAACAAGGGAAACCCAACCGGACACTGCGATCGATCCTTCTCGGATTGGTCTGAGCTTGTCTCTTTTCCCAAGCCTCAAGTGAAACATCGAAATGAGAACCCCTTCTGCGGGCTTCTCGCACCGAAGGTTTCCAAACCCGGATTTCCGCTCTTGACTTTCCCAAGGTACCTGGAGTCTCCTTTAAAAATTAGGTACATGACCCCTTTATTTTGGGTAATGACCCCACTTTTTTAAGGGTCATAAAAGACTCACCCCATTTTTTGAGGGTCATGGAGACTCTAGGTAGACTGAAACTCACTCAGCTTTTGGGAAAACAACCACTGGGTTTAAGTCAACCTTTGCGGCCTTGGCAGGTGCAGCGGAACCTCCACTGGTCTTTTGCTCCTTGCGCAGATTACAACTTCCTGCTGATGCGCGGTCCGTCCAACCGAAACCAAACACCGGCACCTTACAAGGAGACACCCTCCATGTCAACGGGTAGATGAAGGTTAGTAAGGGATATTCCCAAGCAATGGTTGCAGCCGCCTGCGTGATTCTTTACATGGTTCTGGGTAGACTATGCTACCGGGTTTTATTCCTTCCAACCATTGGTATGGTAGCAACATACTTTTTTATTGCAGCCTCCACTCAAAACGAACAGAACCAAAACCAAGAGCAAACATACAGGCCAACAACAGCGAAGTTAAACACCACCAAACACCGGCACCTTCCAAGCAGCCACCCTCCATTTGCATTTTTGTCCCCAGGAAAAAGGGGAAAATCTGTCCAGTAGTGATGGATTCCCTGTAAAGCCAGCCGGGGAAAGTAAAGCGCCTGTTCGTTTCAGCACATGGATGCCCCCAGACTAGTAGCCCCCTGTCTATGGACAAAAGGGGGGTGGGGTGGGGGTGTTCCCCAAAAGTGGCCTGAATCCCCACACAAAAAAAACAACAGATTCACACCCATAGATTCAGAGCACCGCAGATCTGTTTCCATTTCCCGGTTGGCTGCAAATGGACAGAAACCAGGCAAAAAACCCACCCACTTGGAAGTCCCAGCTAAGTGGGGTTTCACCTTGTTATTCATTTCGGTGTGGCTCAAATTTAAGAGCCAGGGTGACGCAGTATTTAGTCTTTGGTTTCATGTACCAAGGTGCCATTTTGGTACATTTATTTGAGCTACGGCCATTTCAACAAATGGATGGCGCCACCTTATTATTCATTTCAAATGGAAAGGAGCCAGCCCACTCAGTCCCATCTAAGTGGCAAACAGCAGGTTTTGGTCCATTCCACTTACCGATCGGGCAACCCATGTTGGTATTTTCCGGTCTTTGGAGCCACCGCCATTTCACGCCTGGCGCCAGTTCCCCAACCCCCCGCCCCCGCCCGGTTCGAACGAAGGCGGTGGACTCGACGCGCGGCGCCTGAGCTGCTGCAGCTCCGTGGGCTCGGCGCCCTCCACGTACTTCGCCCGCGGCCAGGCCTGCCGCTGGGCGGGTCGCTCGCTGCGGGCGGGGCGGGCGAGCGAAGGTTTTTTCGGGCTCTCCGAAAGGCTTGGAGAAGCTCTGCTGGCTTTCTTTTTGTTGGGGGGGAGCCTTTATTGTTTGTTTGGCTTTTGCTTGTTTAGCTTTTGTTTTTTGTTTTTGTTTCTTTTTTTTTTGGGGGGGGGAGGGGCCTTTTTGGTATATTTGGCTTTTGTGTGTTTGGTTGTTCTTTTCTTTTTTGTGGGGGGGGAAGGGGGGGGAGCGGGCGGGCGGTTGCAAGAGAGTGACCCCGGCCGGTCTTTTGATTTAGGTGGGAAGAGTGCATTGCCGTGATGTGATTCTGTTCTTGCGGGTGTCGGAGGCCAAAAGGCCAACCCGGTTCGGACATCTTGCAGTTTGGTTCATTCCTGTTTTGCCGTCGTTTTCTTGGCGGCTTTCTGGAAAGCAGAATCCCGAAAAAGAACTTGCGACTCCCTGGTCTTTGCAGCACAATTTGCCAATCCCCTCTGCCCCTCCGAAATGGACCATGGACAACCGGACACGTTGACCGAAACTCACATGCTTCTGCTTTTTGAGGCCCGTTCCCCCTGCTTAAAGGGACAACCAAACGGAACACCGCCATTTTCAGTACTGGCCATGGGTCGAAATCCCGTACCCCCAGTGAGCATCCCAATCCCCACCAAAATAGACTAAAATGAGTGGTGCACCTACCCCAAAATGGTACCATTGGTTTTGACCCACAGCCTACTCTCACACGAACCCCTTTTTGTCTCGACAGCGGTTGACATCGGAAACTGACCATTCTTCGCACCGATCAACTGCCAAGGCGGATGGATTCGCGGCCTGGCTGCGGCCGCTGCGCATGCGCCGCAGCACTTCCAAGGCCTGGCCGATATTGGGTTCACTTTGGGTTTCCCCTTCAGTTTCCATGTTGAATATGTGGTGTCCACTGAGACTCTCGTTTGAGCATATTTCAAGGAGCAGGAAAGCCACAAATTTCCAGCAGCTGAAATAAGAAATGGATCCAAGAAAAGGACACACATCATGGCTTTTGCCCCTGAAATGGAGCTTCTCCACTGAACATTACCCAACGGAACCGGGACCCCCCGGCCCACACAAAAAACAGTCACAGGGATTTTTTTTTGGAGAAAGAACTTCCCATTTCGGGTCCTTCTGTTGTTTGAAGGACCCGGAAATCAATTCTCAGCCCTTTAGGACCTTGCCCTTGGTGAGCCCACCCTGTACCCATTCTACAGCCACCATGAGCCCATATTCTGATTTCAGCTGCTTTGCAAACGGTGGCCATTGGTATCCTAAAACAGATTGTTTGATCCCGCTTTTCAGCTTGGCTGTGAACCAGACGGTTCCTGAACAGCGGGCCCCTGTTCCAAGCTCCTCAATTTCCCGCCCCAACGAGTCCCGTGCTTTCCATGGGCCGAGGTCCGGTTTTTGGACATCTTTCTTCTGGTCTTACCTCCCCCAAAACCTCCATGACCTCCCTACCGAGCCTAGAGGATGCTCCGACCAAGGTTACTCCCCGGATACATCTGCCGAACAAACGGAGCCGAACCGTCAGCTCCTGAGCAGCCAAAGCCATGAGCGCACCCCCAAAGAAAGTAGCCCTCCCAAACAAGCGGGGTTGTGTAGCAAACCATTGAACATCATAGTTGGGGGAGCTACTTTGGCCAAGAGGTTTCAACTCTCTATACCCCAACCACTTTTCCAACACGTTTCTATCCCCTCACCCCCCCCCCCCCCCGGCTGCTTGAGCATCCTTTCCATTCGCGGACGCCAAACCCCGCGCGACCCGACACGCCCAACGCGGGACACGCCAAACGCGTCGCGGCCTGGAAGTCCCTGCAGTGCTGCTTCGCCAGGAAGGTCACGGAGCCCCCGACCGCGCGGCGCCGCAGGAAGTAGCTGTGGGACACCGCGTCGAAGTCCAAGACTCGGAGCGAAGCCCATCGGATGGGATCGGAGCGGTCGACAGGTGAACTGTTTTTGCTCTGGGAACGAAGCCCTCCCCCCCCGTTCCCGGTTTTGGAAGCTTGTGAAGGGAAGCCAAAAGGAAACCACATCCAATTTTTTGGGGGGGTCCAGCCGATGTTGAGACAATTTCTAGACTTCAAGTCAAGTCAACTCACATAGCTCGTTTTACCCGCAGGGAGATATGCTTGGCTTGGCCATGGCTCCTGGAGGATTTCTCGGTGGCTGGACCCGTAGCGGGGATGGAGAAAGGTGGCCCGCTTGGCGTCAGCCTCTCCGGGCTTGAACCCCAAACATGGAGCCTTTGCACACCAGACTTTCCGAGAGGATTGTGTCCAGCCATCTCTAGGGGTGCTCCAACTCCGAAATCTCGTGGCCAATCTAAGCTAGGTCCCCCAATACAGAGGTTAGAATAAGGGTACCTTTTCTTTCTTTCTTTCTGTAGTATAGTTTATTCTATTTCAGTAGGGGAACCCTCCCCCAAAAAAGTTGGTAAAAGGGCTACTGGGGGACGTAGTAAGGAATCAGGGCAGCTGATCGACCCATTTCCAGCGGGCGGGTCTTCTTGCGCCCTCCGCCCGAGCGGCGCTTGTCCCTGGGGTGACCATTCCGCATCTCCAGGTACCTCCGGGCCGCTTGGGAAGGCCGAAGGACCTTGACACATGCCAAGCTTGTGACTGTCCTCAACCCTGCTAAAAGTTCAACTTTTCGTGGGTGAAACGGAAACCAAACCACTTCACCAACTAAAAGCCTAAGGATCGAATCCGGACGGATGGGAACCGCCAAGAACATTCTGGCTGTGGATCAGAAACATGAAATCTCGAAAATGGCACCAACACCTGCCGTTTGTAGCTCTTGAATTGCGAGCACCCAATCGGAAACGTCAGGTTGAGAAATCGCAGCTTTTGCTTCAAAATATCTTTGGCTTTATGGGGGACCAAACGTCTGGTTGGAACACAGATTGATGAAAACTCTATGCCTAGGATCGCTTCATTTACCTCTCAGCTTTATAATTTAGTTACATCCTAAATAACGAGCTTGCTTTCATGGATATGGCCGTGGGTCAAAAATGGGGGCCAAAATGGAACCCCAGTAAATGGAACCAAGGGATTAAAACCTGCGGTCCACTCATGGACACCCCAACCAAACTTGGCCACCGAAAGATGCTTCAGATGGCTTGGATTGACTTTGGCAACCGTGACTTGGCCCAAACGGCCGAAAGGGGCCACATGAGCCGCCCCATTTCCAATCCATGGCCCAATTGTGCCCTTCTTTTGGGGATCCCCACCCCGCCCAAACCTGAAACTCCCAAGACTTGACACCTCGCCCCTCCAAAAACCCACAAGCACATGGGAAGACGACAATCTTCCCCGCAAAGATGGACAAGAATCGAAGCAGTGACACGTCGAGAAAACTTGCCCACAAAGCGCAGAGATTCCTCAAAGATGCTCCGCTTCATTCCCCAACGGGGACTTGTCGAAAAGGATGCTTCCAGGCACTCATTGAGGGGGATACCGTTACAGTTTTGCTCCAATATCCCTGACGCGCTTGGGCACAAAATATAAACCCCAACAAAACGCATTTGCAACTTTTCTAGCAACTTGAACAAATCGGCATCTTTCAACGGCAAAAGGGGCAACCCTTTCGTATCGAGGCCTCTTCCAATTTGAAGTGTAGAAACAAACCTTTGGGCTGGGGATCCCCGTGTTTTTCGACCTTTGGGTGGGACCCAGTTGACAAAGGCCACCCACCAGGCCACCCACCAGGCCGCCTCGGCTCGTAGCTGCTGGGGGTGTAGTGCTGGAAGTCCGGCGCAGGCAAACACGGCGCCGGGTCCCAAGGCAGGCTCCTGAAGAGCGAGATGGGAAGAGGCGTGGGTTGGTCTCCATATTCTTTTAAACAAAAATGGGTGGCTCGTCTTTTTTCGAGTTGGTACCTTCTTTTTGTGGCTTAGGGAAGCCAAAAGACCAACAACCTGGACGACGCCCCTGAAAAGATACTCCGGAATGGCTTTCCTTTTGGTGTCCCCTAAAACTAGCAAACAAGGGGTACCCTCAAAAGGACAAACCCATATCTTGCTGTATCTTAAGAATCTTAAGGTTGACTGGGGTTGGCTGAATATTAGTGAGACATGATCTGAACGTGTGGTTTTTGGTGGGTTGGCACAAACCATTTACCTCTGTTACAACTCCCCAACGGTTAACATGAGGATTGCTAACCACGAAGTAGCCGATCGCCTCCTTAAGTACAACGGAGAATGAGCCCTTGGGCATTCTTTCAAAGGTGGGTCAACGGGGAAACCTTCCGGAAGATTGGAGTCAGGTACAGCAGTACGGTGGGATGATGTCTCATGAAATCGGTCGCACAACTCAACCCGGTGAGGTTGCAAGTTCATCCCAGATCTCAATGAACATACTGGAACCAAACGGAGGCATAGACGGCACTGCCTAGACCCCCAGCTGCCAGCGGGGTTTGGGAACACACTTGGCGCTCTGTTTCTGTTCGTTGAGTTTAAACACCAACAACCAAAAACAAATGAGTCGCCAAGACACCATCTCCTTAAGGGCCCCTCTCCCAAAGCGGATGAAAGAAGGGCGCACGAAGATCGAGCGCGCCTGTCTAAGACCTCCTCGGCCGCCACCTCCTCGCCTCAGGATGGGGAGGAGCCAAGAGGAAGCCTGTTCTAGCGCCATTTGGGCTGCCTGCCCAAGAAAGAGGACAAATGGCTGGCTGGTTTTGCACCACCAGCTGCTGCGCTCGCATCAAAGTTTTTTTGCCTTGGCACCCTGTGAGGTCTTATGTTTGCGGATGGGAGGCTAAGGGTTGAGGATCCACCAAGGCACCTTTTCCGGAAAGGGATCCGGAAAAAGTCTCTGAGACCCCCGGCGGCGATCTGCGCGGATGGGCGTGGGCAGTGCCCGCAGGGGAGCCTGCGCAAAGGCCGGGTGCGTTGGCCTTTTATAAAGGCCAAGAGAAACTTGATCTCGAAGCCCCATGAAAATGGCACTGATGGATGACAAACCCCAAACGGACACCTATAGCCACATCTCTGATCATTGGACACCGTTTGAGAGGGGAATTCCCCTAGAGCTCGTTTCCCCGAAGCTGGCAAGAATCTTGCTGAACAAGGTTCCCTACATTTCTCCCGAACATCACCCCAAAGGAAACATATTCGGAAACTCACCGTATCAAATGGCAATACAAAAGTGGTTAACACCACCCATGGGGACAATATGGGTGTCCCCTTTTTGCGGATACCGTTTTTCTTGAGTTTTAAAGGGACACCAATAGAAAAAGCTTCATTTTGGGGGGTCCCCTAAAAAAGAGGCACCCATATATCAGTGATCCTATTGTTGGGAGTAGCTAAGGCCTGGCTCGAATTTTGGATGGCTTGCACTGATCGCAAATAAGTGCGTCGTCTGTTTTGAGGCTACCCTTTTTGAGTTGGTTTTCAAAGACACCAAACGGACAGCACTCATTTCTTTCGGGTCCCCTAAAAAAAGACACCCAAATCAGTACTGAAAGAAACAGTTGGTACTTACCACCATGATCCTGATGTGCAACACCAGCTGATTTGTCAACCTTTCTTTGGACCACAACACCGTCAACCTTGGCGGACCTCTCACCAAACAGGACACCTGCAAAGTAATCATGAGAAAACAGGGTCGAAGGGAGTGAGGGGGTGGGTCTCAATTCCCTGGTTTTCACTTCCCGTGATTGGTCTTGAAGGGTTTGAAGAAAACAGGGATCCCTCCAACAGGTTTGGCATGGGGGTTTTCTTCATGGGGGTTTTCTTTTCTTCCTGGGGCTTTCGGATTTCAAATTGCTCCTGTCTGAAGGTTCCCGAAAAATGTCCAAACGAAACATGCTCTGCGACTACGCGTTTGACTCCATGGAGGAAACGGGACCTCCAACTGACCAACTGAGCCTACACAGCAGGTCCCCTTAAACATGGCGAGCCTGAGATTTGCAGATGCAAGATTCTGCGCACATCACTTTCATTCAGCACAAGCTGAAAAACAAGTTGAAACACCTAGAAGCGCACCTCCACGCGGCCCGAACTTGCTCTACTCGCTGAGCTCACGATTAGTGCAGGTTGCCGACCCCGGATGACATCTCGTGGATTAAATTTGGGGGGTTGAAGCCCCCCCCCACCAACAGTGAAGGATTCTCGCTTTCCATGCACAGCTATGAATCAAACAGCCGTTTATGAATCAACTCAGTTCTCATAAAGCACCGCACATCTCAAAATAATTCCAAACCTGACAAGTTCGATTCCCGCAAGATCTCAGGTGAAGGATTACATGGTGAGCTTGCTTTTGCAGGCGAGCTTGCCGTAAGACTAGGCAGATTGTCTGGCTGGCGCACGGAAACCTCATCTGGTTGACTTGACCCCTTCTTCGGCCGTCGCAATTCGTTGGCCCCAAAAAGGCGAAAGAAACAAAAACCGATTCACCCTCTCACAAAAGGGGCCTCTCGTAAAAACGCGCAGATGTCCATCGACGTTTCGCCGGGCGACCGGGAGACCGGGAGACCGCGGCCTGGCCCCCCGGCCCTTCCGCCACCGCGGCCAGCGACGCCTGAATCCCGGCAAACCCATCCGCGGGTTCCGCTTTTCGGGGGTCCAAGTTGTGCCCAGGCCTCGGTGTGTCTTCTTTTAGGGCACGCCCCCCCCCGAAAAAAAAAGAGAAAAAAAACAACAACATCAAATAACAATATTCGGGTTCTTTTGCTGGCTTCCCTTCAAAACCCCAAGAAAAAGGTACCCCCCAAAAAAAAACGGGAACCTGGAACTTGGAACCTGGAGCCCAACGGGGGCAATCCACCGTGGCGAAGCTCCAGGAGTCCTCGAGGCCCAAACACCGATTGATCGATCAAGCAAACATTAAAATCAACACACAACCTTACATCTGTGTTGGCGCATCTGGCGGCCACTAAAAGTTTAGGGTTTAGGGTTTACCAACACAGCCTGGCGCCCTAGTCAAATGTCGAGAGCGACTAGCGGAGGAATAACATCGACAAAGTTTTCTTATGTAGGGGACCGCAAACCGCAACTTGCCATGTGCCAAGGTCATTTCGGCCCATCGGGCAGGATTGTTCAATGCTCTCCTTCTTCCACCGGCCAGCACGTTTTTTTTTTTTTTTTTTCAAGGGTCAAACGAGTGATGCTTGATATGGGCTGATAGCAAGGACTGCGGTTCACATGCTGTTTGCGTGCCAGCCCTTCCGGCGTCCAGCCTAACGTCCCTGATGACAAGCACAGGTGTGGCTTCGTAAAGTCTGAACTTTTGGGAACCTCTCCAACATATGCATAATTTGGCTTGGGAGACCCCAGCTTGATTGAAGGGATTTTTCCAGGTTGTCCGAACAAAAGCTAAACGCGTAATTTCGCGGAGGTAGTGAACCATCCACTCCCTTCCAGGTGGCTTGAGGAAAGGTCAGAACCAAATCCCTTCATAAGATCCCCAAAAGCCATGGCAAAGAATCAGGGCGGTCTTGGCCGCTATCTACGGCAAGGACGGGTAAACCCCCCCTTAGTTCTGCGATTTCCCAGGTGTTCATCGCACATCTCCACGAATCTGTTACCGGCAAGAGAGCCAACACCCGGACAACGGAGCCCACTTGCCAGCCCTGCGACGAACCTTTGCCTTCAATGCCCAGCACAATTCCAAGTATCTTCCAGGCCCAAAGCCCAAACAGTCTACGCAAGCTGGCCTCACAAGCATGAAGAGCCAAGAAAGAAGATGCGGGGATGCTGGTGGACGGTGCCATACTATGAATTTTGCAGCAGAACCCCTCAACAGTGGCTGGTGGACAACCACCTCACAGAATTCCTCCATAAAACATCAGACCCCTTTTGGTCGTGTTTTTTGAAGTGGACCCCCAAAATGGTGGGTTTTCCGTCCGGCTGCCTTTTAAAACCACCAAAGAACGGGCACCGTCGGCCATGTGTCTTCAATTGGGTCGAGGGGCAAAGTGCTGCGCCACTTGCCGCAAGTGCTGCTTGAAGTCTGGTCGGCCTGGCGGAAGACAAAACCGCCAGTTCTCTGCGGAACTCCCTCCCCTCCCCCCAAAAAAACACACACACACACAGACACATGCACACCCACACGCACACGCACACACACACACACACACACACACACACACACACACACACACACACACACACACACACACACACACACACACACACACACACACACACACACACACACACACACACACACACACACACACACACACACACACACACACACACACACACACACACACACACACACACACACACACACACACACACACACACACACACACACACACACACACACACACACACACACACACACACACACACACACACACACACACACACACACACACACACACACACACACACACACACACACACACACACACACACACACACACACACACACACACACACACACACACACACACACACACACACACACACACACACACACACACACACACACACACACACACACACACACACACACACACACACACACACACACACACACACACACACACACACACACACACACACACACACACACACACACACACACACACACACACACACACACACTCACACACACACACACACACACACACACACACACACACACACACACACACACACACACACACACACACACACACACACACACACACACACACACACACACACACACACACACACACACACACACACACACACACACACACACACACACACACACACACACACACACACACACACACACACACACACACACACACACACACACACACACACACACACACACACACACACACACACACACACACACACACACACACACACACACACACACACACACACACACACACACACACACACACACACACACACACACACACACACACACACACACACACACACACACACACACACACACACACACACGGAGAACCACAAAACAATAAAACAACAGCACACATGAAAAATCCATTTGGGTGTGTCTTCTTTTAGGAGACCCGCAAAAGGGCCCAAGCAACCACATGCCGCCTAACAATCATGGGCTTGTGTTTTTTGTTAGATTGTGGTAGTTGAACAGGGGAAACCAAGAGGACACCACCATTTGGAGGGGTCCCCAAAAAACTGTTTGGATTCCATGTCTGTTTGCAGAGGGAATGGGCAGATAAGAAGCGATGCAAATCCAACCTCTTGCCCAAAGCGTATGACGGTCGACCCCGGATTAATCAGGCAAATGGATTTCAGTAACAGGACGGTCCGCCCAAAGAAATGACTTTGATACCCTCTTTGGGTCGCGCCCATTCTTTCCTCAGTCTCCACCATCATTTGCGGGGGCTTTGTTGCCACATGACCTGGTGGCGGCATCTTTGGCGGTCGAAACTCCATCCTGACAGCTTTATGCAGCCCCTTCTTGTAATCGGTGGTTCTCGTTGTAGGGATCGAGCAAGCTCTTGTTCTGACGGGAAGGTTCACGTCCGGTCCTGTCCTCGGAACCGACGGAACCGACTGAACCTTTCCTCTCAGAAGCTGCAACCAGCCCGGAGTTCATGAGGTCAACAACTTCATCAAGTCAACCAGGAGTTTATTTTTTGTATCGACTGGGTTCCCGTCACGCCGCATTCCTTTTCTACAAACCCGCAGGGTTGGTCCACGCCATTCTGAGATATGCTCGTATGACTCATGGCAATGGTCGGTGTAAAACTATATTTTGGGAATCTTTCCTTCAACTTTTCTGGGGTGCTTCCCAAGTGATTCGGGGATTCCCCCTTGAATGGGACGCCCCCGGGCCAGTATATACCACTGGTTGAACAAGATGCCTGTTTGAGCAACTTGCGGCATGACCCGTCTCATGCCGTGTTGTTTGGCTTTTGACCTGCCACGGAAGAGAGGTCTCTGGGACAAAGGAAACAAATATGGGGAAACATGCTGTATTGCCCCGTGGAAACAATAAGTAGTCTGCGCTCCCAATCGGACGCCCGGGGTCTCTGCCCAGATAACGTCTGGGGTGGTTTGGGGCAGCTTTGCGGGAGAGCTGCAGAGAGTTCCAGGATTCAGGGGATCCATGTTTTCAGATTCTGCTGCATATTCTGTCTACCCTCAAGAATAACCTTTCCAACCCTTGCCATGGTCGCAGAAGCTTCTTTTTAGCAGCCACCCACTTGACATGAACAGATATGAACAGAACCAAAGAATCGTCATTGTTTTCTTAACAAACACAACAAACAAACTACACAAGAAACACAAGGTCCTCCAGTAGAGAGGTTAGAATAAGGCTACCTCTTTTTTTTTCTGTAGTCTGTTTGAGTACGGGAATCCTCCCCAGAAAAGGTTGGTGAGAAGGGCAGCTAGCTGGGGGACCTAGGTGTACCGGTACACCATCTTCTTGGAGCAGAGCTCCAAGAGAAACTGGCCTATCGCAACCGCGGCCGCTGCGAATCCGACGGAGCCTCAGCACGCGAGCTGGGGAGTTTTTTGACACCAGCAATTTTCAGGGTTCCCTGAAAAAACACGCACAGAACAGCTCCATCCAACTTGCGCTCCAAGTCCATGGGTTGTCTGGATCGTTTGAGAATTTGTGGTTGCTTCCGCCCCTGGCTTCCTTCCCTACCCTTCTTTGTGCCCGGAAAGAACGGGGGATCCGGATCCGGGAATGGGACAGTGGACTCAAAAGGGGCGTTCGACCATTGAAAGGGTTGCAATAGGAAAGGGGGCTTCCGACTCTCAAAGAAAGCCCAATCCTTTCGCCTCCAGGCGTGGTTGCAAGCAAGTTCCACACTTGGGAGTCAGGAGCAGTTTCATGGGGTGGAATGATCATATGGCTATGAATTCCAATTGGGAACCTCAATTGTGGTTGGCTGACATGAATCTCGGCCAACCTCTGGTGTCCATTAGCTGCCAGTTGGATCTTTAGCCTTCGACTTTTCTGGGGTGCTTGCCAGGTGATGCGGGGATTCCCGCTCGAATGGGACGCCCCCCTGGGCCAGTACCGCTGGTCGAACAAGATGCCTGTTTGAGCAACTTGCGGCATGACCCGTCTCACGCCGTGTTTTCTCAGGGTTTAGCTTTTGACCTGCCACGGAAGAGAGGTCTCTGGGACAGATTCCATGGAACCGGCTCTGTTTGAGGGCCCTTTCAGATGTCCGAAAAAACCCACGTAGAACAAGTGAGGGGAACCTGGAATTCACCTTGGCCAAGGGTGGTTGGTGTTTGTTTTTCAACCCAGCGACTGAGCGGATGCAATCCACCCCGCTTTCCCACTCTTTCTTTGAGTAGGTTTCTCTTGAAAGCCTTCGACAGAAAACCGTAGGGGCGCAAAGCGGGCCCAAGTCTTTTTGTCTCCTCACCATGCTCCCTGAGACAAAATTCTAAGAGCAAATGACAAATGCAAGATTCAACGCATTTGTGCATGCAATATATATATATATATATTGTATATATATATATATTGTGTATATGTATATATACATATTGTATATAATGTATATATATATATATATATTGTATATAATGTATATATATATATATTGTATATAATGTATATATATATATTGTATATATATATATTACAATTTATACGCACATACTGAACATCTGTATGCACACCTTAATTTCGGCTCCATGAAAGGAACCCGAATCGGCGCAAAGCCCCCCCTTTTTGTGACGTGAGTCGAATCGGAGACCCCTTGGACGAAAACTCGCTTACAAACTCCCAAACGCCAACTGGGAAGATTGGCGAACGTCCCCTGCTACTTTGAGGTCGTTCCCTCTTCTCGTGCTGACCGTGTATTGCTAAGTCAAGTCGATGCCTCCGCAAGCAAAGGACGCTGGGCTCAATTTTTGGCCCCTGCCAGCGGCCACCTGGGCATCTTGTGAGTTTCCGGCCCGAGAAGAAAAAACACACTTTTTTTGTTCTTGACCTGCCCAAGGCTTTTCCCAGCGCGCCTCCGGTTCCATCTTTGGCCGGCGGGCGGCTTGGAACCTGAGGCGAAAAAAAACCTCAGGGAGGGGGCAATATGGCTTCCCTGGATCAGTAAAGGGAACCCCCAAATGGTTTCATCACTTTTAAAGAGATCATTTCCCTAGTTGCAGGGACCCCGAATGGGTTCATCACTTTCTGGAGGGGACGTTTCCCTATCAACAGCAACAGTTTATGCAGCCGGGGTGAACATTGGGCAACCTCCCACCCCAATTGCCCGGGGCGGGCCTCGTTTCGTCGCCAGGGAGGAACCACTTGCATCGGTCCGGCGCATGGGCGGCCGACAGCTCCAAGAAGTTCCCACAAACCCAAGGCTCACAGCGAACGAAACTGGCTCTGAGATATTCTCTTGAAAAAGGAAAAAAACAAACAAAAAACCAACAGACATCCATTTGCAAAGGCTCACACCAAAGTGGCACTGGCTGTGAGGTGCTCCATGGTTTCTGATCATCTGCTGGCTTGCTTAAACGAACCTCAACCAACGAGATATCCAGGTGCAAAGGGCTTGAAGCAGAGTACAGTAGTTCTTTGTAGTTGTGCGCGCCCCAGGTCAAGCTACGATGTTTGACTCATGCCAGGCGCAGTAGGTCCAAAGGAAGCCCAAAAAGCTAAACCAGTCGCCAGGGATTTTCGCAGATGGCATCGAGGGGCGTCCACCGCCTCTACTTGGAATCTTTTTGGCCGGACTTACCGATGTCTGGACAAGCCAGCGGCTGATGATGCAAGGCCGAGGCTTCAAGCAAAACGCTGCGAAGCAGGCGGTGGGTCGGTCAGTGGAGGACCCTAACCTCTTAAATTCAGGAGGACTTCGTGTGAGTTTCATCTTTGCCAGGTTCAGAAAGGAATCGGATCCCACAAGGCCCTGGAAGTCCCTTTTGAGATGTCATAAAAAGGGGCCACCAGAATGCATCCCCTTTTTGAAGAACCTTCGCGGAATTTCCCAAGTCTCATTTCCCACCCGCTCTAGACATGGCGGCTTGGTGCCCTGTGAGCCCTGTAGGAACCACCACGGCATTTTGGACGCCGAGCTGCGGATTCCGAAAAAGTATATGCAGCGCTCAGGTAGTACTGTTAGCCCCGGATTGCTCAACTTGGCGGACTTTCATGCAGGGTGCAACCACCCCAAAAGTTCTTTGGGTCTCTTCTAGAATGAGCCGCCGCCCCAAATCAAGGTCAACGTGTCAAAACTCTTTCTCTTGGTAAGAACCTCTTGGTACGAACCTTTTGCCAAGTGCACATATCAGCCCTGCCCCACAAGTTTGTGGGACGTTTTGACCATGGCCCACAAAAGATCCCCCTGGGGTCAAGCCTGCATCCCCCCCCCGCCCCCCTTGGACGAAAAACAACCACAAAGATGCCAACCGGAAAACGGGCATGTGGGGAAGGTCGGTCCGGTTTGACTGGGTTTGATTGTTCTCGACCCGGAGGAAGCAGGGTGAAACTCCCCTGGGACACCGCCCAGATCAAAGAATCAGCCGGGGGTCGATGAATCCCTGGGATAGTCTTTGACATGATGCGCTCATGACTATGGAAGTCAGGCACCCCGCAATCCCATTCTAAACAAAGTGCGAGCCTTCTAGCAAGTAGGTTGGTGTGGTTCCTTCTGAACTTGGTTCGCTTTTGGACAGTCAAAGGGAACCACCATGAACCCGCTCCCATTTGGGCTTCGTCGTTTTCCTGGCGCAACAGGCGGTTTTAGATCCCCCCAAGGACGCGCTTGACACTTCCGCAGCTTTTCTCCGGTCACAGCTCCTCCTTCGGAAGGCAGCGCTGGAAAATCTCCTGAGGCTCGGCACGCTCGGGTTGGAACACCCAAAAACGAAATGCCCAGCTGTTAAATCCTCCTTCCAGCCCTTAGGACAACCAACTCAGCAGCGCCCAAAACCAAGACTGCTAATTCTTTTGACATGGTTATAGAGGCTTATGTAGGCCTTACCATAAACTTTCAGTCCGCTGAGTGCTCCCGTCAACCTGAACGTTAACATATCGGCATTGGTGTTTACCCTGCGGAGAAAAAAACCAAAAAAACACAAAACACCGGCTGGCGGGATGGACATCGTGAAAACACCTGCGCTGCGGGAGGGTACCCACCCCGATACCTTTTGGAAGGGGTGTAGCACCAGTGCCAACATAGTAGCGTTCACGTTCACGGGAAGACTCAACAATGCCGGACATGCCAAGCACAATCTGGGCGCCATGACTGCTGATGTGACGACGCAGCGGTATCGAAACATGCTTCAAGACGTAGTTGGTCTAAGGCTGTGCAAGATCATTTGTAACAGTTATCACAAGATATAAGAGGATACGCAGTTTACAAACTCCCCAGGTCCAAATTGTGTTGCAGGCGGGTAGTCACCGATGCGCTCTAAAATAGTCGCTGGGTTGCGGGCGCCTCTCAAATGAAAAACCGCCTGAGCCAAGTGGACAATTGTGGAGCTCGGAAAAACGTACAGCACAGCAAGCACAGCGAGGAACAAAACCACGCTTCTCTTTTGTAGGCTCGTTCTGATGGCGGAACAGCCGAACACATGTACCAAGATAACTCCTCTTCACTAGCAGAAAGGATCGAAGGCACTGGAAGGGAGGCTTGGATTCGGGGTGAGTGTCAGGAATTTCTGCTCCGGAGTTCGAAAAGATCCCGTGCCTTTGCACCAAAAGTAGATGGCAATCGGGTAAGTAAGCGGGATGACAAAACCATGAGGGAGTCGTGCCACTTTCACCCAAAGGGAACCTACAAGGAAGCCAAGGACCACACTGTCCCACCAGAAGAGCGCACAGCACGACCTCAGCTTGAGCCCAAGAACCCAAAACAAATGTTTGATTCTGGCCCGTATTTCGTTTAGCCAGACTTCCTGGTCCAGGAACTCGCTCCGGTGCTTTGGAACTCGGTTTCCGGTTCTGGTTTCCCATCCCGCCAAGAACCAGGAGCTCAACTCCAAATCCAAACCAAGGGCCTGAAAAAAATGGTCCCAGGGATGGGGAGCTTTTGCCCTTGTGGCAAACGCACCTCGAAAGAACTTTTCGGGACATCCCCCGGCCTCTGCGAGAACCGGAGAACCTGGCAGCCCCGCTCCTCGAAGTAACTGGGCCTGGTGGGCCCGCCATGGACGCCCTCGCAGAGATCCGGGCCGCCACAGCGGATCCTTGGGCCAAGCACGGGATCCACAGACCGGAGCTCCCCGCGGCCCAAGCGGAACCCACACCGACAAAGGGAGTGGTCGGTAAAAGACCAGTCGATTTCCCCGAACAGAAAGCACGGTCCAAAAGGAAGAGAAAGTTGAGGTTCAAAGATGGCCGGATTTTCCCAGTGGATTTCAAAAAAAAGAAAACCGGTCGTGGCAAAGCTCTGCCAAACGGATGCCCGGGCGCTCGAAGTGCGGCACGCCGCTGCGCAGCATGGGCCGGGCTTGAGCGGTGCGGAGCGCGTTCTTGGACTCCTCGGGCGGTGATTCGGTTCCGGGTTGCGGCGGGTTGGCGGTGCTGAAAAGGACCTCTCCGAGAAGCTCGGCCCAAAACCCGAAATGAGTCATGATAAACACTCGGTATTAAAATGGTCTACCCAGAACCATGTGAAGGTATAAGAAGGCGGCCGAGCGCAGGATTGGGATTGTCCCTTACGAACCTTCATCTACCCGGGTTTGGCTCAAATGAGAATTGCGTCCGAGCGGAGGAACACCCATGCTGTGGTGTTGCCGGGTTCAAGTCTGTAGGGAGGACCCCTTCCAGGTGGGAGAAGAGAATAGGCGTCCTTTTGGCTTCCCTCTACATTCGGGGAGAAAAAAATCAACTATTTCCAAGGACACACACCCCCATACGTACTGGTACTGTGGATGGACAAAACTCACTTCGCACCAGCCCTCACAATAACAACTCAACTGGATGTTCCAACCGAACCCAAGACTCTAGGGAGTTTCTCTTGGGAGCTCGTTATACCTCATGAGCTCATTCAGAATTTGTCGAGGGATTCGGATCAAAGATGGTGCTGGTCCTTTTGGAATAGATGGCACAAATGCATCGTCAAACAAGCTGACCGAAAAGGAAATCCAACCCGCCCGTCCCCACACGCAGGTGATGTCAACTTAGGGTTCATCCCTTCAAATCCTTACAACACACGTGGATCCCCGGCGCAACAAACGGGAACCCCTCCGATTAGTACGGTCCTCCGGAATAAATCCGGACGACATTGATCATCAACCTGGTGGGTTGTGTCGGGTTGATTCCCTCATTGTACGGGATCCCCTCTAAAGCGCTCTAAAGTGGATTGGGACGAGCTTGTCAGTCAACTGATGTCCAGACTTGCATCCCCTGCAGCAAGATCACATTTTGCTTGAAAGGGAACATGAAGGAACATCCCAAAGGCAACAAGATAAACGCCGAGCTATGCCTGGCAATGCGGGCTCATCCGAGTTTCACATAGTCGTGTTGCACTGATTCGGAGCCATAGCAAAGATATCCATAGCCACCTCTTGGGCCCTCATTCGCGGTTATGCCGTGGCTCCCATTGCAATGGCTCCGAAGCAGTACACGAGTATGCCGCATATTTAGCCCGCGGGGGCAACCCGCCAAACACCAAGCCAACACGTGCAACATAATGAGTGAACAACTGAACCTAGTTGGTTCTGTAGGCTGAGTGAAGCGGGAGGGCAGGTGACTACGAGGTGGGTTTCGCATTTTCGAGCCCAAGAAAATCCTGCCTTCTCGGGGTCGCTGAGCGCAGCTTCCAGCGCCTCTAGGGGCACGCCGACATCCTGGCGATTTCGAGGCGAGGAACCGTCCGGCTTCCCGCACGGAGGAATTTTGCTCAACCAGGGGGTCAGATGCACCAGGGGCCACAGGTGTTAGTCCATGCTTCATTCATCCTCAAGCCCCAAAAGAACGACCCCCGGGGTATCCCAAAACCTTCCGCCACATGCGACAGCTCGGGTGAGTCGTAAGATGTTCTAATGGGGTTTCCCGGGTGGTACGGGCGACATCTCTTACCGGCACTCGGGGGTTGGGGGCATGGACAAATCGAACTGCCCGCCCCCTTTTTTGCTTTCCCGTGCAATTCTAGTGCAAAAGTAGATGGCACCCCCATTTTGGTTTTGTCATCCGGGGCATCTACTTTCATCCATGCCGGGCATTTTGGCCCTGATTGACAGAAATGGCAGTTCCTCTAGACAGTTTGATCATTTTCCTAACTGAAAGAAATGGGTAAATAACTGAAATCACCTCAACAACGCGCGTATAGAAAGGCAATTTTCGCCCACAACCCCAAAACGGATACACGGATACGTGGACCACCACCCACTTTTGGGCGATTTTCGCCCCAGCTCCTGCAGGCGCTTCCGCAGGCCGGCGGCTTCGTTGGGATCCTGCAACTCCTGGTGGGACTGTCGTTTGGGGGTTGGGGTGCTTTTTTTTCCACACCAAGTTGGGGTGGATTAAAATCCTGACACCCCAAGTTGGAAAGTTGAGGTGGATTAAAGTCCGTCTGAAGGAAACCCCAATGTTCTCGAGTTCCTTTACCACAGTTCGATTGATACATGGGCCGCCGACACACGCCAACTTCTTTTGTTTGCTCCTGGGAGTTTCTCAAAATGTGATGGGACGCTATGAGGAAACCCAAATGACATGTTAGGCCAACCGATTCCAACTTTGAGAAATGGGTCTGTCCTTCTTGCTTCAGGGTTCGCCTCTTTTTGCCAAAAGGAAAACCGGAGCGTTTCGGTTGCTCATCTGTCCCTGCTAAAAGTGAATAGCTTTCGGGTTAAATGGGCCCGCCCCCCCCCCCCCCCCACCAAACCAAACCAACTAAGAACAAATACAACACAATCTCGGACGATTCGCTGGTTCCGAACCGCCATGGAAAACCGAAACCATTTTGGGTGGTCCCCCCAAAAAACGGAGCCACACCTGGGACCTAGAAGGATTTTGTCGTATCCGTCCCACATGGGGGTTGATCAAGATTCCTGGCCCCCAAATGATGGGTAACTTTTCCCATGTGGGACATATGATTCCATTTTAGTGGTTTTCCCCACCTCCAAAAAAGACCTCTCATATCTTACGTAAGACATGGGATAATTACCGAGAGACCTCATTGTCATTCGTCATTTGTGTTTTCTGAGATATCGTTTTCCCCATCCCCGGCCCATTGTCAACCTCTAAAACCTTACGGACCTAGTCACGTCTCAGGACCTGGTTTTGTGGTTCCCCCCCTCGTTTTGGTGGTTTCCCTGATTGTCAATTCACGTCTCACGGACCAATTTGGATCAACTGCACGCGGCGAGTCGAAAGCGCCGCCGGCCTCGAAGTGGGCGCGCAGGGACGCCAGGGCGAAGCCTTCGGCGGCCGGGGATCCCAGGCGTTGGGCCAGCGCCAGGGCCGTGTTCACGTCCACCTGCGTGGGGCGCGGGGGTTGGGGTGGGCTTGGGCTTAGGGGGGGGGTCTTGGGGTGGGGGGTGGGGGGGTCTCCAAAGACCCTCTTTTTTTTGTAAAAGGGTATCATGTTTAATCCTTCAAAAACAGGAGAGCTGCTCCTGAAAACTTTCCTTCAAAAAGCAGTGAGCAGTGAGCTGTGGCCCTTCCGGCTCCCGTTGCCTAAGGCCTCGTTGCAGCTTCCCACGCCAAGAAAATGCCGCCGTGTAAGTCGGCCTTCTTGGGGGGGATCCCAAATTTTAGACGCGTGAGTAGTCCAAGTTTCAACATATCTCCGACGTGAACTTTTTGCCTGAGTTTGAAAAAACAAGCACAGTTTCAACTTGGCGTGAGCAACAATATCCGAAATGCCCCACCCCAACACCACCGGCACCTTCCCTCCTAACCCTACCATCCCTTCCCTCCCAAACTCCCAAAAGGAAACCATATTCCTAAATTCCCTCCAGACCCCACCAAAAAGGAGATCACCAGGAAAAACCCTTTGACCCACCCCCCACCCGCCCCGCCACCCGCCCCGCCACCCGCCCCGCCCCGGCGCCGTGTGCACAATGCGCCGCTCCATTCGGAAGCGGATCCCCAGGTCCTCGCCCAGCGCGAAGGCCCTCGGCAGCTTCTCCTCCCGAGTGCACGGTGGGCTGCGCCGCGATCGCGGGACGGTACTAAACTTTTGAGCGGCGCAAGATCGCCCCGATATTTTTCATGTATTCATGTATATATGTATATATATATGTGTATATATGTATATATTTATATATGTATATATGTATATATGTATATATGTATATATGTATATATGTATATAAATTATATGTATATGTATATATATGTATATGTATATGTGTACATATGTATATGTATATACATATATATATATACACACATGGCCATTTTAAAAGGGTAACCCGAAATGATGTCCAATGGGTTTTTGCAACGCCACCTTTAAATTACATGCTACTTGTACAATTGGTCAAACAAATACTTGGGCTTTGGCTTTGTTCAGGCTCAGTACCCTTGCCAAGGTTGGTAAGGGAAACACAGAGGAAGGACGCCGTTCAAAGTTTGGGTGCCTTTCTCTTGAATACCGGGCTTGGGACACAACGTTTTCTGTTGCTGGCCATGTGGCTAGGTTTGCTGTGTATTCCATGGGCTCTGGTGGTTCTCTCTGGAAAAGGACGTGCGACATCCATCCTTTTCATTTTTTTCATGGGAGGAATCAGTTCTGTTGTCCATTCAGCGCGGAAAACTGCCCCATGGGTATGTAAATAGAGTTTTGGACCTGGCAAATGGACTTCGGCTCTCCTTTTGGCTTCATGAAAACCAACCTTAAAAAGGCCACCCTCCGCAAATTCACAAGCCCCAAAGCATCTCTGCAAAAGCAAAGTGTGACAAGGCGGGGGGGGTGCGTCCTCCAAGAGGAACTTTGCTTTGGCTGCACCGAAGCCTTTGCCTGAGACACCGACTGCTTGATTTTCTGAATGAGGTTGGGCTGTTTCAAAGCCAAATCCGTCATGGAGTTGTGACGTGTATCTTTTTCTTCAGCCCCCCACAGCTTTTTATTGGGTTCATTCATTTGGATGCCTGGAGGATGCATAACCAGCACCAAAAGCCTGCAGCGACTTTGGTATTTCTTTCATAGAACGAGCATCAGGCCTTTGCCAAAAAACGGGCAATCTTTATCCGTTTGCCTGGTCGCATTGGCAGTTTGTACTTGGGCTTGTCTACCGCACACTAACACAGTCTTCAAACAAAACCAAAAGGACCCAAAACTGAGTGAGACTTTGAAGATCAAACGCACCACATTTCCGCAACTTGCACGCTTCGGTCACTCTCTGGCCAGGCACCCGGAGTGTTGAACTTCTGTTTTTGATGGTCCCCTTTTTGGGGTGGGTTTAAAGGGAAGCCAACAGAACGCCACCCATTTCGTCGGTTCCTTCTTTTGATTCCTGGATGATTGAATTTTGATTTGGGGCCGTGTGGTGGACACTATTCAGGTGGGGATTTATGCCCACCAGCCACTCTTGAGATGGTTCCGTATTGAAATTCATGGCCACATGCCATCGAGGATGTTCGATGGGAAACCCGAAGGATGCCTGCCAACCGGATCAATCCGAACATGAGAAGATCAGCTTTTGGCGAAGCGACTGTGGCGAATGCACCCGGGTTTCGAGCCTTTTGGCGTATGTTTCTCGTGGGCTTGAAGACCAGGTGTTGGTAGGTCCTGGTTGAGTTGATCGATGCTTCACATAGGAACCCGGGATTCATCCAGAATTTTATTAGCTCGCAAGCCGCCAGTCTCAGAAGTCGGTCCAAAATGTCAACGGGTGTCCCTCTTCATTTTTTCCCCCCAAAAACAACCAACAATGGGGGGGGTTCCCAAGTTTTGATTTTGAGAAACTCCCCCGGAAATCCCAAACTTACCCATTACAACTCCAAGCCCTGGGGAAGTTAATCTGTTGCAGACATATAGCCCATGATACCCAAAAAAGTTGAAAAGTTGTGTTTTTAAGAGGTAAGCAAAGGAAACCACTCAACACGCTTGGGGTTCAATAGAAACACTCCTGTCAGCTGGCTTTCTGGGGATCCTGCAGTACTCCGTCCAGTCCAGGCCTTCCTGCCAGCGATTCGGAGGCGAGCCACGTCTGTAGGCCAAGTGGCCCCCTCGAAAACCAGTGATTCCATTTGCCTGTAGCGTACCTTGGTCTTCCAAGGGAACGCAAAAACAGGGTCCTTCTTGATTTTGCTCTTGGTTGGAAAATTAAAATCAGCCAAAGGCCTGCTTTTTCAGGGTAGGTAACCATGGGAAGCACCCAAACAAAACAGGAACATGGCTGGGGGCCTATAGTGGTAACTGGGTTCCCTTCAAACCAATAGAACAACGGATGCCCGCGTTGAAATCGAGTCTGAGCAAATGTTGCACACGTGATGCCTGCGAAAGGTAGGGTGGAAGCACAGTCCGACAACGTGTTCGGCCGGCCTTCCCTCCCTTGAACCGTCTGTTTGGGGGAGGGGGAGACAAGTCAACTTCAGGTTCGCGATTTTCGGCAGAAACTTCGCACCTGCTTACCGACTCACAAGGCAAAGCTGACACTTTTCGGACCCCGTTGAGGAATTTGTCTTCACGGGGTTCCCTTGACAAAGTCCCAGCAAGATTTGGATTTTGCGATTTCCACCAGCGGTTTTGGGTTCGGTACTGGAAAATTCCTTTTTGAGCGTTGGGAATAAGACACTCGTGTGATGTGTTGTGAGAAACTCAGGTGCTCTTTGTGCATTGGACCCCCCCGTTTTGGTTTGGCTTCTGCTCAGCTTGAGTAAGGTCTGGGTCGGGACCCCCCCCCCTTTCCCGGAAAAAAAGAGAAGAGGCCCGCAGGTCCCAACGAAGCGTGCCCACCTGAAACAATAGTTCCTGTACCCTGTAAACCACCGCAAGCTTAAACCACCGCAGCGGAGATACAGAGCTTCGTTCCCATCGGACCGGCCCACGGAAACAGAGCTCACGGCTTGGTGCCCACGACTCGACCCAGATTAGATTTCCATGAGGGAAACGCGGGGGGGGGGGGGGCATCCATCTTTGGAGTTGACATGGGGCCCGACTTTGGCTGAATGCAAAGAGGGTTGAGTGACAAAAAGGGGCGCCACAAGGAGAACTTGTGGGTCGAGTTGCCTTTTGCCGCGTCCGAAAAAAGAAGAGAAAAAAAACAAAAAAACACGAAGCCAGCAAACGAAAAGGAAACAGCCAACAAAAAACAGCCAACAAAAAACACAGCCAACAAAAAACACAGCCAACCAAAACAACAACAACACACACACACAAAAAAAAAAACAAAACAAGCGCGTCCAGCCGCCTGCGGGTAGGTGCCCGGCGGGTCGAACTCGAAGGGGAGGAGCTCCACCGCGAAGTCCAGGCGCGCGGCGAAGCGCTCCTTGGCCAGCGCCAGCGCGCGCAGGCCGATCAGCGACCAGGGGCACATGAAATCCTCAGCTCCGCTGCGGGGCAATTTTTTTTTTCGCACCGAACGTGAGCTGCCCTGGGAAAGGGAAGCACAGACTTTGAAGCCTGCGGTTACCCAGATCGCTTGGCTCGGATTTTCTCACCGGAAAATCGGAAATTCGGATGGATCAACTCCCATCCCAGTGATCCGGCGGAAGCCGCAAGAGAGTCCCATGATCAAAATCAACCAGGCCTTTTCTGCTTCCGGGATATCCAGTCTGGATCCCTAGACCCCAGTGGCGATGGGAAACAAACAATTGGGGCGGAAAAAAAACAGGGAAGCTTCCTCCGTTCCCCGCAACTTCCTTGATTCCCGCTCATACCTTCCTTGGTCCATACTTCTCCGAGTGTCGGATTTTCGAGCCTGTCGGCCAGTTTGTGGTGGGTAGCGTGTGCCCTTGGAAGCAAGGGGTCTTAGCCCGTGTCTTTTTAAAAAGGGGCCCCTCTCCAAACAACACTTGAGCACAGACATGATTTGCCCCACTGGGAATTTGCGGATTTGTCTTCGCGGAAGGGCCGATGGATGTTTGAAATGGGCGTCAACCAAAATGTGTCAACGAGACCCAGCAAAAACCGGGCGGGCGGGGGGGGGGGGGGTCAAACCCGGATCTGAGTTGAAACCAGGTTTCCGATGAAAGTGCCAATGCTACTGGGTGCATTTGGGCTTCGTTTTGGGGACCCCCCGACATGACTTCAGTTTTCTTTTGGCTTCCCTTTAAAACCACGAAAAGGGAAGAAAGGACTCCGGTTTGAGGCTCCGGTTAGAGACTGGCTAGTCTCTATACCCAACATGTAGCATGGACCACTACTATGGTAGGGTTGCACACTGCGCTTGGATTGCCATGGGACTCACCTGCTGACTCGTCAAACCTCTTTTTTGGCGGGTGTAGTTGGGTATGACCTATCAAAGAACTGTTTGTCAACCATCCAAGTTCTACTTCAGCCAACTCTAACTCTGGACTCAAGGCTTAACCAGGTCCTCCAGTAGAGAGGGTAGAATAAGGGTACCCTTTTTCTGTCGTCTATCTTAGTAGGGGAACCCTCCCAACCAAAAAAGGGGAGAGAAGGGCACTACTGGGGGGGACCTAGTTAAGGTACTACCTGCCTAGCCCCCCTTTTTTCTCCCCATCGAGCCGCAAGGGGCACCCAGGCGATGCAGGCGCAAACCCATAGCTGACAATTCCCCTTCAAAGAGGGTCTCAAGGTTGCAAGACCCTTTGGTGGATCCTGGGCTTCCCAAGGGATGCATCCAAGGAGCGCCTGCTTTACAAGGCTTTACAAGGGGATCCTCCAAATCAGCTGGTTGGATGAGTTTCTATCTGGCCCAAATGTATCCGTTGAAGAGACCCTGGAGGGAAACTTTTGAGTGAGCGAACCCCGTTCCGGAACACTTGACACTTGGGGCCCCGTCCTCTTAGTGGGGGATTTTCTTCACTTTTCGAGGGAACACGCCCGAACAAAAATAGGACGGGTGCTGCTTCGATCCGGAGCTCGTTCCCACGTTGACGCTTCATCTGGGTCTGTGGCACCCACGCTTCCAATTGCGCCCCTAAGACTCTCTTCCTGAATGGCTTCGGGGCCAAAAACCGAATCCCAACTTCTTGTTTGCCACTCAAACGGTCGATGAACTCCAAAACATGTTCCCAAGCCCAGGACACCTCTCCTCCCCCCTGGCACCCGCCAGGCGGCCAGCACCACTTTGATCTGCACCCGTGGCATGGCCATCGATCGGCGCGCGCGCGCGCAAGCGCGGCCGATGGCCGCGGGCTCGGCTGGGGTGGGCGCGCTTCGCCGAGTTCAGGGTGGTGTGGGGCAAATGTTCGCAACAAATTGCCGCATCCTTTGGGGTTTGGGAAAGGGACTTGATGGTTGCGCATGTGGCAAACGAAAAACGGACTTGGAGCCCAAGGATCTCAGGGCTTCCCAGCGCAACCAGATACCGGATTCGAAATTCCATACTTGAACATGGAACCCAGCCAACCCCCTGTTAGTTCACCCCTTGGGTAGTCATTGCGAGCCGGCGTTCTGCGCGGCGAACGAGCGTGCAGTCCGAAAGTCCTACGCTAGGCGCCCTGGTTCTCTTGTGCAGGGACTTTCTTCAGATATGCGCGTGTCTTTAAATAGGGACCCCTCAACATGGCGAGTTTCTTTTGTCGTTCAACAAAAAAGCACCGCTCCGAAAAAGAAACCTCGAAGAAGACACACCCATATATTGGCATATGGCCATGGGTCATAACCTATGCCTCCATTTTGGGGCGGATGAACAACACCCGTGTACAACTTATTTTGATGTTCACCAGGGGTACAGGGTTTTGAGCCACAGCCATATTGGAGGCGTGAAAGCTCCAGCACTGAATAATGCAAGCGCTATGTACTCCGACCTTGGAGCGGCAGCAAGACCTGTGGATAGATTCTGGGGATGCTGCGACACGAGCGTATTGACCCACGTGTCGCACCGAATCGGAGTTGATTGCTGGGAGTTTTCAACCGGCCGAAGGCGAGTTATAATTTATAGTCTTGATGCAGGCAAAGTGAACCCGAGCAAGCGACCCAGGCTCCCTTTTTTTGGCCATCAGAAACTTGGAGGCGTTCTTGCCGCACGGAATTGCTCAGGATCCCATGTTTGCCGCTATTCCACGGCTTTGGATAGCTACAGCTCGGCTACAGACAGGAAAAGCAAAGGACCCGGATGGAAGTACCAGCCCTATGAACAGGAGGCGGGGGCCTCACCGAAAGTGGTCTGAACCAGGAAGTCAACCAGAAAAAAATACTTTCGAAGTTCCGAGGGCTTGAACACATAGCCTTGATCCATACATTCGCCGCTTTGCTTCATCTTTTGGCACTGGCAGGATTACTCACTTGACTGGCTTGGTGAAAGACCGTCTAAGCTTCTTGCTTGCCACTTAAATGGCAGCCCACCAAGTGACTCTTTAGTTCAGAACCGCAGGGACATTTGGCTACACACTTTCCATACATTGACAAACTCTTTTGGCACGAGGGTTTGTCTGTGGGCCAGACTCCGACCGTCAAAACTAAAAGGCAACAAGCCAAAAAGGTAAGCATCTGGCAACCTCCACCCCTCTGGCTTTATAGGGTCGGAAAGAAACGGAACCGTTCCCAACATGGGCTTGGGCTCGTTTCCTTTCTGTTTTCTTCTCCGGACCTCCCTTTGCAATACGTTTGGAAAGTGAGATATCATGTCCAGTGATCGCGACCACTTCGACCAACCAGGCAAAGCAAAACAACAAGATCGCATCCTAAGTAGATTGGCCGAACAAAGTTGAAACTGCACATTTACCCATCATAATGGTAAACAAGTATGTCCAGAGAAGAGAGAATCACAGACCTTCTGACCCGCACCTTTGAACTGAGCCGAATTTGTTTTTTCCAATCCCTTCTAAAAGTGAAGACGTTTGATGTGGATGTGGAAACTACCACTAAACCAGCTCAAAAGCGGAAAGAAAAAAACAACCCGAGGAAAGGGACGATTCGCTGGAACCCCCAAGTTGAACCCATTTGGCCATGGGTCAAAATCCTGTACCCCCAGTGAACATCTCAATCCCCGCTAAAATTGGTTCTAAAATGGGTGGTGAATTAATCACCAATCCCAACCAAAATGGGACCCCGTTGAACCGTTGGTTTTGACCACCACAGCCATTTCCCAAAAAAATCTCCGAGGCCCCGATCCGAGGCCGATCCGACAAGAACGCGCCTGCACGAGGTCCGTCTTCTCCAGGCACGCCATGAAGACCCCATGGGGCACACCGTAGAACTTGGCCTGAAGACGAACTGCGGCGCGGTCCAAGCCGAGGTCCTCCAGATTTGAGAGGTTAGAACAAGTTGGTACCCACCCAACTCTTCTTTTTCTGTCTGTATTTGAGAGGTTAGAACAAGTTGGTACCCAACTTTTCTTTTTCTGGATGTCTGTTCTAGTAGGGGAACCCAATCATTCGCCCAACCAAAGAAACGGTGAGAAAGGGCACCGATTGCTGGGGGACCTCGAAGCACCTGGGACACCGAGTTTGACCTTCCAGGGGTCTTGATGGACATGAGTCAGTCTTCACAGTATGCTTTGTTTGACATCTGGAAATGAGTGAGGTCGGACAACCTCGGGCGGGAAGTTCTTCCGTCCTGCCGATGTCATTTGTTGCGCCTGAGCGCAAATCCACCCCACGCCACACAGAATTTGAAGGGGGACGCATGCATCGTTCCTTCACTTCTTTTTCTTGCCTTCAAGGGAATCTAACATGACAAAAAGTCCACTCGACCCTCCAATCACGGAATCTCAAAAGGGTTTGGGAAGACTGCATAGTTTTTGAAAAGGGCACATGAGCGCTCACATGTCCAACCAACGAAACACAAGAACACACCTAGAACTCGTTTGGGCTTACACGACTGGCGTCAAGCCAAAATAGATGAAGAAAAACACGTTCAGCCCATGACCATCCCTATGAACCCCACGGATGTCAAATGACAACAGAAACGAAGTGAACCGCTTGACCGGCTCTTCCTTTTCTGACTCTCTTTGGCTGAAAAGGACAGCCTCAGAGCAAAAAAAACAAAAATGCCAGATCGGCCAAGCCGAAGATCCGTCGCAACCAAATACCACGACAAGAAACGCCCGCAGAAAGTCGCCCATTCTGTGATACCAACATAGGACGTCGGTACTTTACGACATTCAATGGGGAATGCCCCGTTGCGGCAAAGGGAACTGGGCCAACCCCAGGCAGCATTTCTCAAGTGAAGCTAGGGCCTCCAGTAGAGAGGTCAGAATAAGTTGGTACCGACCTTTTCTCTGTCTATTTTCGTAGGGGAACCGAATCTCCCAACCAAAAAAGAAGCGGTGAGAAAGGGCACCAATTGCTGGGGGACCTAGTTTGTGTATATATCTATATATATATATATGTATAGATATATTCAACCCCCCCCCCCCCGCACAAGGCCTGGTTTTGGTGATATCCATGGCTCCCTTCGAGAATTTTTTTCGGGGGCGGAGCCTTGGCACGGAGCTGGCCCACGCTCATGGCCAGCAGCTTCTGCGGAGAAAGGGGGAGGGGCGGGAAGGTGGTTGGGGGAGGGGGGGAGGGGATTGCTGGAAAGCCCAGAGAAAAGGCCGTTGATAAAAACAACAACAACCATGGAGTTGTTTTTTTGCTTCGAGCAATCCCCACCCTCCACACTCACGACCGTCAAACAAAAACACCATGGAGTTGTTGGCCTTTTTTTTGCAGGAAAAACATAACAAACAAACACAAAGAACCAAATGCCCGGGCGAAAACGAAAAAACAATCGAGCCCTCGATTCGAAGGACCGCGAAGGCTCACTTCGGGCCGTCCGAGTGTTTGCAGGAACTCAGGGAGTGACACCGTGATAGGAACAGGAAGGTCTACAGGAACTTCGCCAAGACAAAGCGGGGAGTTGGGCAACGTCCTGCAGAATTCCCTGCCTTCTTTGCGAATATTGCCAGAGGAGCCGCAAGGAGTTCTATGAACGCATGAGTGTTTTACTTGCTCTTTAACCTGGGGGTCTTCCATGTAAAAAAAGACTAGACCACGGTTGGCCCGAAAGCATAACATCGCAAGCGAGGTCGGCCCAACGCTGCAGGATGCGTTCTTTTTCCCTCCACGAAGCATTTGTGAAGCAAGCGCGAGACAGCACCAGGCAAGGTGCTCTGCGCAAACTGGTCGGTGCAAGTTGGTCTGCGCAAGTTGCTCTACGCAAGTTGCACTGTGCAAGTTGCTCTGCGCAAGTTGCTCCGCGCAAGTTGCTCCGGCAAGTTGGTCCCTGCAAGTGGCTCCCTGCAAGTTGCTCTGTGCAAATTGCGCTCCCTGCAAGTTGCTCTGTGCAAGCTGCTCTGCGCAAGTTGCTCTGTGCAAGTTGCTCTGCGTAAGTTGCTCTGCGCAAGTTGCTCTAGGCAAGGCGCTCTTCGCAAACTGGTCGGTGCAAGTTGGTTTGCGCAAGTTGCTCTGTGCAACTTGCTCTGCGCAAGTTGCTCTGCGTAAGTTGCTTTAAAATGCAAGTTGCAACGCCCGCCCGCGGACCAGGGAGGAATCGAACCCGCGACCCGCCGGCTCCGGGAGCAGGAGCGCGAACCACGAGACAACTCCCGAGGACCAGTTCGAACAGCAAAAGTCGCAAAAAACCGCGAGTTTTTGCACCTCGACCACGCCGATCCCCGCAGAGGGTTGCGCGAGCACGGCAGAAATCGCAAAAAACCTCGAGTTTTTGCACCTCGACCACGCCGATCCCCGCAGAGGGTTGCGCGGGCCCCGCAGAAATCGCAAACAACCTCGAGTTTTTGCACCTCGACCACGCCGATCCCCGCAGAGGGTCGCGCGGGCACCGCAGAAATCAAAAAACCTCGAGTTTTTGCACCTCGACCACGCCGATGCCCGCAGTTAAACGGCGGGGTAGTGCCGCGCAACCCTCTGCGGGGATCGGCGTGGTCGAGGTGCAAAAACCCATGGTTTTTTGCAATTTCTGCGGTGCTCGCGCGACCCAACTCATGGTTTTTGCGATTTCTGCGGCGCTCGCGCGACTCTCTCCTCGCAAGTCAATTGCACTTGACTCCTTGCACTTGCAACTTGCACTTGACTCCTTGCACTTGCAACTTGCACTTGACTCCATGCACTTGCAACTTGCACCTGACTCCTTGCACTTGCAACTTGCACTTGACACCTTGCACTTGCAACTTGCACTTGACTCCATGCGCAGCTCGCAATGACTCTCATGACTCCTTGCAATCACTCCTTGCAATGACTCCTTGCAATGACTCCTTGCAATGACTCCTTGCAATGACTCCTTGCAA